ATCTCACGTTAGCACTGTAAGTATTTTCCTTCTCAGGTCTGTGCTGAAGAACCAAATCGCAGATACTGCAAATTTGAGGAGTAAAACTGCAGACTGGTGAAGAACAGCATGGTAAGAAAGGTACCCACTTTTCACCATTTTACAGACGTATCTATGTGTGGTTGAAAAGAGGAGACTCTACTCCGCATTCTGCCAACTTCTCCGGATCCCACTCTGCATAAAATTCATAAAAAGTCTGAGTTATGGCTGTGGAAATGGCATCAGCTTTTCCTAAAAACACATTGTGCCTGGTAATACTAACAACGTGGAGGTTTGTGTCTTATATCCCTCAGTCACAGCTGAGATGACATAAGTAAATCCCAAGAAACCGACTGTAAGCTTGAAGCTCAATAAATAAATAAAAGTAAAAAAACCTGTTTCAAACAAGAATGTACATTTACTTTGCTTTCTGCATATTCTGAGATTTGTATTAGGGTGGGAGGAGGATATACAGGCAGAAAAGATTCCTGTCTGAAAATGAAAGCTTTGGTGCAGCCATGCTTTTTAAAACACTTCTTAGCTTAAAAAAATTGTTTTCAGGCCACTTTTCTTGTAAATCTAACCTATACTGTACACAAATTTCATTAGAAGGCTTTTAGATTCATAGAAAAGTTTAGCTATAGTCAAAATAAGAATAATAACAATGCAAAGCCCCTCAAATTAAGAGAACAGTATTAAGAGAACGTTTACTACCTGGAAATTTTATGTAAATATTTGATCTGTAAAAATCATGCTTCAGAACTGGTTTCATTTCCATGGATTTTACATATCAGAAGTATTGTCAGTTGACAAAAATTTCTTACAGGCATCCTGTAAGTGGGGATCTAGTAGCAAGCAGTAAAAAAATTAACAATATTTAACACCCTCCAGGGATAGATTTCCAAACGTTTCATGAATACCAAGGGATTAAGTGTCAACATCACAACAGGCATTGTTATCACTTGTCACTATTTTCTTGACTGTCCTTACCCTGTACATGATGCAACAAAGAAAATGATACTCCCTTGCCTCATTTCAACTCTGGAGTTTTCACAGGCAGTCTGGTATGAACAGGAACCAAGATGAATCAGAACCTGTGTGAGAATTCCAACCAAGCACTAAAAAAAAAAAATAATATGGTGCTGACGAAACATTCCAGCTCATTCACATCCCCTCCTCCACACGCTTTTCTACTTCTATTTCTGCTTCCAAAGGAAACTGGGAAGAAGCACAGAAAAGTCTACACAGCATTATGAACCAAACTGAAGTTTGAAAGGAGAAACCCTAGTAGAGGCAGCAAAACCTCAGGATACTTTGCCCAAAGAAGTGAGGTGATAGGATCAGGGCCAGGAGAAAAGTCACCTGGATTCACAGCTGGAGTTCTGCTGCCAAGTCACACTGCAGAAGGTTTTAAGCAGGTCTGCAAGCTTCCTTTCTTCAAGCTGTCTCATCTGTGAACGCTATTTGTCTGGCACTAGGTTTACAAACGAAAGACATCTCAGACAGATAAATTTGAGGAACACCTCACTAATCAAGAGTGCTGTTTTACTCCCAGAAGGGCCAAGTACAGTGCATTTAACTCCTGTGTAAAGTACGAGTTTCTCATTTATACCGGAGACATCTGTTCTCCTCACGCAGCCGGTGGAAACAAAGCACACGCAAGCACTTAGCAACGGCTGAGGGTCGTTTGTCCTCATGAGTCTCTAGTAGTTGCACAAACAGGTGACTCCTTGCACCCACAAAAATGTACTTTTTCTCAGGCATGGCAGCATGCCAGGCCTAGCTGCACCAAACTCAGGAGTTTAAGGTTCCCTTTTGATCCGGCTGAAAGATCAACGAAAGATTCCTCAAGTAGCAATAAAGAATTTTCCTGCCCAGAGCTTTTCATGAGGGGAAACGCCTGACTTGACCCACCTCTCCCCCCTTTTGCTATTGGGAGGGCTACTCAAGAAGATCGCAAGGTATTGGAACTGTGCTGCTCACAACCTAACTACAGACTTACTACGGCTTTCTCGGAACATTTATAACCCAACGCCACGCACAGAAGAGCTGAGGGTTCCCTCACGCGCTGCGAGAAATGCAAAGGGCGTTTGTAACGGTGATTGCGTAACCAACCCCGCGTTGTCAGAGTTTCAGCTCAAACCAATGGCCACCTGCAATCCAAGAATTGTGCCAGGACCCCTCTGCTATCTAAGTATTCAGTCTAACAAAGCATTCCAAAATCACTTCCAGCCAAAGCTACTCCTCCCCGCTCCAGGCGGTCTCCTACCAGCAGCACGGCGCAGAGCTCAAACCCTGCACGTTTCCCTCCTCGGCAGCACGGCAGCTGACCTCGTGAACGAGGGACATGCTCCATTCCCCACAGAGTAAGCTCCCGAATATCAGCGTCTCAAACACGGAACGTTCGTTCCCCATGTTAGCAGGGAGTCAAGGGATTGTATTCAGACCTCGTTTGGGAACTACATGTTTGGGTACAGAAATACCGTGCTTCTCTGGTGCCTCTGTCCTCATCCACTGTGACACCGAGGCTGCAGCTGAAGTCCTAAACCAACAAGGAAAGAAGATACAGCACAGATTCCACTTCTCCTTTGACTTTTATTTAGTGCTCCTCCTTCAAAAAGTAAGTGAAGTTTGTTGAAAGAAAGAAAAACAGGGTGGGAAAAAAATGGTGTTATCACCTAAGATTACTAGTGCTTGAGAAAATGAAAGATTTTTAAAGCAAGAAGATAGAAGAAGCGTGGCCAGAGACAGGAGAAAGGGGCTTGCTGGCCACTGCTTGGTCTTTATTCCTCTCGGGGGAAATCCAGCTCCTGTTTTTGACTTTCCTTCTCCGAAGTGGGATCATTTGGATTATCACATGGCTTGCCCAGTGAATAGTTCTCATTCTCTAACAAATATGACCTCGTAGAAGCTGACTGGTGTCTTTATACATTTCCAGCCGTAAGGAGCCTTCATTCTACTCACGCCAGTGGAGCCAAATCGCATCACCTGAGCGCGTAGTTAAACGTGTACTGAACATTTACACACATCACATACTTTAGAAGCTGTACAGTCTTATTTTAAATATGTATTATATTTAGCAATAAAGCTGCTAATGGAAAATGAAACTATATAATGGCTAGCTCTCAATTAAATCTTCCCATGGCTTGCTCCATCAGCAAGTTATTTATCCTGCTTTGCGGAGATTTTCCAAAATCATGTCATATTGTTATGTGTGTATAACAAAGCTGGGGAAAGCCAGCTACATCAAGTCACTTTTTCAATAATCCAGAGAGATTGGTGGTTAGAGATTCGTGGCACGTAAGCAATTGGATTCTCTTCCCACTCGTAGCTGTTACTAAAGAAAACACATCTCCAATACTGCTGCTAGCAATTCTTGCAGGTTGGTTTGATTTTCTTCTGCTAGTTAGTGGAGTTTTTGCTCTTTACACATAACAGTGTAGCACCATCCTGTATTAATCATCATCTTTCTGAGATGCAACCCGAAACTACGCCGTGAGAAAACAGGAATCCTATTGTTATATCTTTTAAAATACATGCTAATGCTCTTTCTGCTTGCTCGGGTAGAGCAGATGACAGTTGTGCAGGCGTTACAACAACCAACCTGTCCATCGCTGCACCTTCGTGACAGCGGGCCCGGCATCCCTGACTCTGTCCTGCATGCAGCGAGCAGGGAAGCCGTGTTACCCAAGATCTCTTCATGAACACTGACGCCTGGAGTGGTGTTTGCAGGCTGCAGCGTGTTACTGTGTCTCCACAGCTGTCCCAGCTGGCAGTGCCCAAGCTGCTGAAGTATGTTTGTACAAGCTCTAATAGGGCTGCTGGGCAGACACCCCTTGCAAAACAACAGCAATTTATGGAACAACCTTCTAAGGAAGGCAAATATTTCATGCTTGAATAATTCATAAATAAAATCTTAAAAGGAAACATTGCCATAATGAAAGCAAACAAGCTGGAGAAGGCTGCTGTTTAAAATAAAAGCAAAGCATTCAAAATCCTTCTATTTGTGAGAAACAAGCGACAGTTTTCCTTCCCATAAGACGCGAAACATACGGGTAAATTCTGCCTGCTGCATTAACTGAGACACAGAGATTATCTACTCACCAAGACCAAGTAGATGCTAAAGGAACACAAGGCAATCACAACTTAAAGAATTGGTTATATACTGTGAGAAGGACAACCCATTGCACGGTTGTCGGAAGCAGAATTCTCTGCAGCCAGCCAAGACAAGAGGGAGCAGAAAGTTAGTTGGCATGAGGTTTAGGAACTTACTTCCCATTCATTTAACTAAGTATCAGGAACTCTTCAAGGACACCTATCTATTCAACCTTAACCTTCCAGAATTCTTGTCCTTCCCTTTTACAAACCTAACAAGCCAAATGAGAAGATAATTCAGGTATCATATTTCTCTTCTACCCAAGGTTTCCATTTTTCTTAACTAGAACTTTAGCCCTGTGAGTAGTTTTTTCCTGGTAGTCTTGGTCTCAGTCATTCTGGAGATTTCTGCCTCCCAGACACCAGCGAACAGCAAGATGTTTTGTGTATTTTTGCAAGTGTTTCCCTTCGCTCAGTTCAAGACAACAGGCTGAATGGGTAGGATTTTCTGCAAGAGCCTGTAAACACTCACACAGGATTGGCAGAGGTAGCTGCGTGCCTGGTTCAGAGACAGCGGCTCCCAGCTTAGGATAAACATAGGAACTTTTTAAAAAGATGTGTTTTAAGGAGGGAAAAAAGACAAATCTTGCTTGGTTTGCGGCGAATGCTTAGTCTTCCACACGTGCTATTTTTGCCCCCTGATTTAAAGATGATATTTTACTGATTTAGATGACTGCTTACATGAGGAACAGAGTGAAATAAATTATTTACAAACTTCTCATAGGCTGACATCTATTTGCATGTAGGTAACCATGGAAAGTACTGGTGAGTAACAAATACATTAGAAAAATTAAAAAATAAATTTAAAAAACAGAACGAAAACCATGAAGGAGCTAAATTCAGTGCACAGTTTATTTGCAACAAACCAGCTAAGCCGTTCTAACTGTAATTGTATCTGGTAAATCAGAAAGAAAGAAATTAAATTAGGAGTTCCTACTCCTGTGGTAGAAAGTTCAACAGGGCAGTAAGTTTTAAAAATCGAGACCAAATGCAATGAATATGCCTGTATTTTATCTCAATAAATAAACTATTTTCTCTGTATAAAAGCTGGAAAGGCTTAGGTTTATTAAAACATAAGCCACAGACGTTACAGCATATAACAAAAGTGGTGTCAAAAAACAAAGTCCAGATGAAATTTTGAATCTGCTGCATAGAAAATAACCCACCCGCACTTAGCTGAGTCAGGAGCGAAAGGAAGCAGACACAGCTACTTATTCCTACTGAGAGTTCTTTGCTTTTCAGCATGCTCCACGATTTTTTCTTCTACATAAAGTCCCTTTCGCTTTCTTACTGCATTCATGTACTTGCGGGCCTGGTTCTCTGAGTCTGCCTTTTCCCCAAAGTGCAAATACTCTTCCTCCGTGGTTGGTACCCAGAATGGGTCACTGGAAATGATCTATAAAATGAAAAGAAAAAAATAAAAAGTGAAGTAGTACAAAGGTTTGTCAGTACATTTCAGGTAATCAATCGCTCAAGCAGAGAAATATGCAAGTAGAGCAGAAGAGAATTTTCTGGAAAGCCTGCAATTAGCTTTTTAAGCAGAACACAAGAGTTAACACACCCTTGCCATAAGAAACCCATATTAGCTTTTCAAATTCAGTTGCTTTTATTTGCATACAAGTTTTTTTTTTTTAAAAGCCCATTTAATTGCCAGTCAGCAAACAGGGCCAAATAACGTTCAGAAAATTCTCAGTTTTCAAGAAGGAATTCCTTATTTAGAGTATTAGCTCACTGTGATTTTATTAGAATTTATAAGAACTGAAGGTTTTTGTGCCCTCTGTTCTTCAATCCCTAGGAGTTGGACAGATGGTTTAAAAAATCATTGTTTCTGGTGCTAACATATTTAGTAGAGCTATTCTTGCAGCTTAGTATCTCAGGGGCCCTTCTCTAGAAGAGATTTCAGATCTAACCTGGTCAGAGAATAACTGGGTATGACTCTGTCTCCAGGTCATCCTATATACCCCACACTTACCAGACTGCCACAGAGAGTATGCCAAAGATGCAGTTATCTCCAAAGTCTTTGAAAACTTTTCCTCATTTCATCTTGCACAACAAAGCTACAACAGTTTTAATTCCCCAAGAAAACCTGAAGAGATATTGAATCCCTGCATTTGGGCTACCTAGATTTCACACAAATTCTAGGCTTAATGCTGAACTAGCTAGGCAAAGATAACAAATTATTCCATTACTGTTAGTGATGCTCACGTTACTTTAACAAGTTTTAGTTTTCCAAGGAAATGTTTTAAGACCTAAGGAAAAAGGAGGGAACGCTCCCCACCCCCCATTCCTAAGCTCCCAAGAATCCGTCTCTGTTCTATTCATATGTTAAATTGTTGCAGACACCAGAAATTATTCCTAAACCATTAAGAGTGACCATCAAGTCCCAAGCTCATAACGTGCATGTGTAATCAAATCTGGAAAATGCTCCCTAGTGAACTGATGTCTGGGTGACCAACCAAAATTGTATAGGGTTATAATCCCGAGATTTAATTTTCCTTCCCATTAGTGGACAATTAACCAGAAACCCGTAAAAATTACTGTTGTAAATGAACATTAAGGAACTTAGTGAAAAATAACAAGACCACCTTCCAAGAATGCTAAACATAAGCATTAGAAGGGATAAAACTGACCATATTATGTTACTCAGGCTGTGTTGCAAATTTCAAAAACACTTATTTTCACTTAAATGATTGAAGATGTCCCCACAAGGTGCCGTTACAGGTAATATATTTTTACTAAAAAACCCCAAAGATAATACTGTATCTATTTTTGAAACAAAATCCTCATGGAAAAAGTAGCGCAGAAAAGTATGAGTTACTGTAAGAATCATAATATTTATGACAATAATTTAGGACATCAATCAATAATCATTTCCAAAATATATATTAGCACTAACATTCATGACGGACTCAGAGGGAACAGACTTCCCTAAAATACCAGTTTTAGCTTAGTGTTATAAACTTTTTCTGATGTTATAAACCTTTTCTTCTGACAAATACTTTTAATTGCCATATGATATTTCAAACCAAGCAAAATTTCTTAAAGCGTACATAAGTTATACAAACTAGCAAGAACAGAAATTAAAAAAAAATATGGCCTAGGATAGGCATTTTTCCCCAGAAACATCAAAAATGGTGAAGTCCTAATTTAATACCTCATCTTAAATAACACCTAACACAAACAAATAACGCTTTATGAGGAGTTTGGGAAATGACTATGGCAGAAGATGGCTATTCTGTATTAGGTAACACTGTAGGTTCAATCCTGCAAAATAGCGTGTTAAGCCCCTAAACCAACAAAAATAGTTCTACTTTGTTACAGTTAAGTATATACGTAGTCCTGGTAAATTAAGTGGAGTATTAGTTGTGCTGAAAGGGCCATCTGACCTCAGTAAACAAATGGTATGAAACTTGGCTTTCCAAACGTTTCTACATTTATTTTTAACATAAAAGTAAGGACTGTCTAACCACAGAAGAGTCTGCCTGAGTCATACCCATCCCGATGTCTTGTACAGGGCCTTATAACCAATGCTTAGACACTCAGAGGTGATTCCCTGACAGTTTACATCCTTAAAAAAACAGCAGTCCAAACTCTAAGAGAGTTTTACCATTATTCTATGCACTAGAAACAAAGGGGCAGTGGAGACTACTGCCAATTTTCCAACTTTTGGGCAAAAATTGCACGTTGACTTGATGAAGCTGTAGTGATGCTCATACTGAACATCTCCATGATGAAAAACCACCAGGGACTTCCCCATTCATCATCTGCCTGAGGAGCTAAACAAACAAAAAAATTTCAAAGTCCAGGAACACATGAATAAGAAAAGGTGATTCATGCTCAGTGGATGTGCTGCGGAGGGAGATTGTACAAACCATTGTACCTTAAAAGGCTGTTACTACCCCTTTGATGAAGATTTTTGTACATTAGCAAGAAGTCTAACACCCAGAAGTTATGCCCAGAGAGACGCAGTAAAACAGTGCTTCTGGAAGAATGAATACAGCAGAGGAGTCCAAAAGTGTACAAAACTGAACGTAGGGATCCAATCTGCCTGTACATATTCAGATACTGTAGTGATGGATGCTTAAGAAAGCCCCAGGTTTGACAGACTGGCTCTTCCAATAATTTATGAAAGATTTGTTAATGAACATTACCTGAAGTTTTGCACTGGACGCTTCGGCCACTGATCGTAACTCTTTATGCTTCAACAGGTATCTCTAGCTCTCAGGAAAGCCAGCATAACAGGAGGCTCACATGCATGTTCTCTTTAGTAGCCAAGGGCTACAGGATCCTGAGTGAACCTTCTACGACACGATGCAGAGCAGCACTGGTTTCAAAAGCCACCTCCCGAGCCTGCTTTGCTTCTCGACCCGGCTAAATAATTCAGGCACTACATCCTGCTCCTACAGCAAGTTTTGGTGGCACCTGAAAAATTCAGTTAGGGGATCACGCCTATCTGAATGGTGCAGACGTGTGCAAAAGGAGAGGTTGATTAGGACACACCATTTGCAGTCCCGCACCACGGCAGGTAACGAGAAAGAGGAAGCCAGACCTACCAAGTCAGCTGGAACCTGGAGCATCAGCTGTGCGTCCCCTCTAAGAAGTCAGCAAATAGTTAACACAACCCTACTATAACTACACAGAGGCGTTACTGACAGACCAATACCAAAAAAGCAGGAAGTTTTCTTTTAAAAAGAGTTCTGGTGCTGTAAGTGAAGGTGAGGGCTCGGACTAGACTGTCCCACTCACATCATGTTAATGAGTCAAAGCGAATGCATATAGCAGGTGGCACCATCACTCCCCATGTTCATGTAGTGCAAGCAAGCAAAAGGGAAGAAACGTTTCTGTGTAACGCTCCAAAAGCATCGTCATCAGTTTGCTTACAATAGCAGCTGTCAGAGCGGTGGGTCTGGGTTTCCTGGAATCAGAGCTGAGAAGCTTTTTAGCGCCTGAGCTATTGTTTGTATTCATGGGAACCACACAGGGATGACTCTGGAATCTGTGACAGAAGGTGAGTTTTTTGTCTAGATAAAGTCCTAAATGATTAATTAGATTCTAAATGGGCCAATCCTTCTGGAATATGATGTAGCCATTTAACAGAGGGCATTTACTATGGATCCTGGACGATCCACAGGATCAAAGCAGAAAAGACATCCACAGACGTTTAATCTTTGCAGCACACCACTATTAATTTAAAATTAGATAGTTCCACATACTAATTTTTCAGTATAAAACTAAAACATGTAGCCTAAGATTCGTTTTAAAACCAGAAATGATAGCATCTTAACGGTGCTTTTTCAAGAAGTTACACTCGGAAGCAAAAGCTTCAATCAAAACGGAACTGGAAATTCAAAATAACATGCCTTTCACAGCCAAAAGGCTTTAAGTGACTCCAGCGATTCCGTTAACCTTCCCCACAGGTCTTTAGTATGCCCCTCTCTCATTCTGCCTGCGTGCCATGTGTGTCTGGGAACCACTGAGCAGGGGTGACCAGAAAATCGTCACAGCCAAACTGTTCATACCCCAAGCGTAATGGACAAAAGGCATCAAGAGGAACCAGCGTTACGAGAAGGTCCCTGTAAAACAATGACGTGATGGTATTGTTAGCACCATGGTAAAGTATGTTGCAAAATACCACCTTACTGCGTGTGATTTGACAGAGAGAAAATTCGGCGGATCTTTTCTTCAGGAACTTTTGCTAGGCCTTGGGAATTTTTCCTTCTAACAGCATAAACTAGCCACTGGCCCATGCTTATTTATTATTCAACATCAGAAAAATCTGATGGGGACAACAGCAGCTTTAACTGCAAACAGCCCAGAAGAAACCCGTGATTACTCCTCCAAAGTGTGCATGACAAAGCAGCGAGACAGCTAAGGCTTGCGAGTTAACATAACTGAGTATTTCTGTGCCTCAAGGCTCTTCTGAAAACAATTTCTCTTAAAAAATTAATTCTAAATCAAGGTTTGGGTAGTGGATCACTGTACTAGCATTTACTCTTATTGGAGAGCAGTATTTTCTCCAAATGCAGCCATATAAAATTACAGTAAAATTAATCAGTGCACAGCAGCTGTTATAATTCTTCATCTATTATTGCAAATGCAATTCTTAAGTGATGGAAATCATAGAATCACGGAATGGTTTGGGTTGGAAGGGACCTTAAAGACCATCCAGTCCCAACCCCCCTGCCATGGGCAGGGACACCTTCCACTAGACCAGGTTGCTCCAAGCCTCATCCAGCCTGGCCTTGGACACTTCCAGGGATGGGGCATCCACAGCTTCTCTGGGCAACCTGTCCCAGTGCCTCCCCACCCTCTCCATGAAGAATTTCTTCCTGATGCCCAATCTGAATCCCCCCACTTTCAATTTAAACCCATTACCCCTCGTCCTGTCACTACAGG